CACTTCTCAGGAAGCAGCCCTTTGTTGAAGAGCACAGAAACCAGATAGGAGAACAACAAGATGGCAGCAGTGGCAGACAGCATGGAGATGGTCTTCACTGGAGAGTACTGGACATAAACACCATCCTCAAGAGTGCATCCTGGGAAGTGTATGACAGGTGGTAATCCTAGTGAGGGCTCTCCACTGAGCAGTCTCAACACACATCCCACCAGCAAACCAATAACAGCCCCGTAACCATTGGAGATGTTGAAGAAGAGGACGCAAACGAGTTGAGGGAAGATTACAATGTAGGCCACTTCAGCACCAGTGAACCAAAATGTTAGGATGCTGTTTCTCAGGTTGGTCAGCGATGTACTAATCAAGCCCACTACCAACACAGAAGCACGGATCACCCACTGAGTCTCTCTCTCTGATGCCTGAAAAAGACAGTAGAGAATCACTTTCAAAATAAATGCCATGCCTCTACAATCGCAAATAGTGTAGTCAGATTTCCTGTTGTGATGTAACAAATAGAGGGAACACATGAAGATTTTCACCTGAGGCCTCAGGATGTTCTTGTATATGTTGGAGGTGAAGACAGAAGCTGCAGAAAGCAATGCAGAGTCAGCTGACGACATCACAGCAGCGGCCACACATCCAGTACCGATAATGGAGACAAAGGCCGGGGTGAGGTGCTGCAGGGTGATGGGAAGAACTATAGCTGATTCCCCACGTTCATATGGAGATGGAGAACCATAGGAGGTCAGGTTCCAGTCTGAGGCATGGACACAAAAGGAGGAAACAATGAAGAATGGCAGCGTTCAAACATGCCCCAGACCCCAGTTAACAGTCAGTCAAATAAATTATTTGTCCCATGACACATGGGGGAGTTTCAGTAGTGTCTTCATCACAGATCCTTTCGACATGAGGGTAGAACTTGAAGGAAGAACCTCCTCTTGGCCCCCTCAGTGCTGGCCTGCTGTAGCCATATCTTCTTCCTGACCTCAGCAGGCAGGTGGTTGGGATCTCCTAAACGTATTATTGCGGCACCTGGTGTAAACATCCTTTATGCAAGGTAGAGCAGCACCTATTGTATGTTCAGCCAAACAGGGTCTTACATGGGGTCTTGATGTTCTCCCTTAGGATGCTCTCGATGGTGGAGTAGAAATTCCTCAGTGTTTGAGGGGGTACCTGTAATTTTCTCAAGCATTTGAGGTGAAACAGTTTCTGCCCTGCTGTTCTCACCACTGAGTCAGTCTGCAGCTCCCAGATCAGGCCCTTGGTAATATGCACATCAAGATACTTGAATCTGTCCGCCCTCTCAACAAGGACCCGTTGATATTAAGATGGGGAGAGTTCCTTTACTGCTTCTTCCAAAAGTTGACTATCATCTCCTTAGTTTTGTTGACATTTAGTAGTAGGTTGTTGTCTTAACACCAGCGGGTTAGGTGCTCTGCTTATTTCAGTTAGGCTTTTTCATTTTGACTTGATGATGATGTTAGAGTCCACAGTGGCTAGACAATCATGTGTGTACAGGAAGTACATCAGGGGGCTCAAAACACAGCCCTGGGGTGCTCCAGTGTTCAGGATAATTGCACATCACACTAACACTCTTTGATTCAATTGATCGTTCTTTTTAACTTCGACTTTTTGGCCACCCTACAGGTGGATCACGTTATGGCAATGCCATTTGGTCAGACTATCTATTATTTTGATCCAGGATGAATTATCTAAGCAACTATTGGATTGTATATAATTAATAGCATTTTTTAAGCCTTGTAACCTGCTTTCAGGGCTTGCCACTACACCAAAACAAAGTCATAATGATGTTGTGCTCACTATAGATTTAGATTTCATCTCTGTGCTTATGTTTCTGGATCTCAGTGCAGTTTTTGAAACCACTTGTCACTTGTTTTGGCATTTGACAATTTGGCATCTCTAAATCTAACCTATCTAAGAAAACACTGTGTTTCATACACATCTTTACATTGATATTTTATCATGTGAATAGGGACCTCAGTGTTCTGTTCTTGACCCTCAATTTTTCTCTCTTTACATCTCACCTTTTGGCCAAATGAGACACAGTCATGGAATCAGTTTGCATCTGGTATGCTCATGATACTTAGCTCTATGTGCCCATTGAAGGCAGATTATCATTTCCAAATCATTAAATTACAGGCCTGCTTGTTTGCAGTTAAAGACCAAATTTCAAGTACTTTCCTGGTACCTGAGTGGAATTTCTTGCCCCTCCACTAAGAGATAAGAGACCAGCAGTGACACCAGAACCTCACTCAGAGACACTTCAGCGGAGGGTAAAGTGGCTGCCACAGACCTTCCAGATGGACAGTCTTCCTTGACTTTTATGTTAAGTTTGTCTTTGCAAGATGAGAATATAGACATCAATTTTCCAGATTTACCAGCATGTAGAAACTGTTCATACCTGTGGATGCAGCAGCTGCCCCGAGCAGTACTGGAGGTATCCCAAATATAAGTAACACGAAAGCAGCAATAAGACACATGACCTTTGCTGTGGACGTGGAAGATGCCGACAAGGTCCTCTGGTGGAAGCACTGATATCCCATACTCCCCAGTGCCTTAAAAGTAAAACAGTTAGTTGGTTAATTTAATCACTTGTGTGTCATTGTGAAGATATCTATCAAGCCTGTTGGGAATTGCTTTCAATATACTGTAAGTATATATGCTGTTTCCTTACAAAGAATAAGAAATCGTCCATCATTATCCAGGTCTTTTTCAGCCCCGGTCTACCAAGCCAAGGAGCATGTAAGGTGTTGTTCCTCAGTGTCTCACCAATGTCCAAGGAGTGTGGGTTCATCAAAACAAAGGGAACACAGATCCACTGCAGAAACAAATACAAATAGTAATCACAAACACACACGACTTTTAAAGAAGTATTTGGAGATTTTGATGCCTTATGTAGCAGTTTTTTAGCAAAATAATAAGCCTGGAACTTCTAAAACTTAAAGTATAGAAAACTCACCAAGCTGACAAATATGAGCACAAGCTGTATAATATCTGTGTAGGCCACAGAGTAGAGACCTCCCAGCAGTGTGTAGGTAATGGCAACGGCAGCAGAGATCCAGATGCACACAGTGTAGGACAAATCCAGGACCACACTCATGGTTCCTCCTGCAAACACATTATATCGAAGACTTGCAGTGGATTTGGCACAAATTTGATGTCAAGCAGGACTGATTGCCTGGTGCACCCCTGCAATTTGATTAGCTCCTTCCTAAGTACTGAAGTACTGTTGTCCTCATTTGCTTGTAGTTGGCAGTAGTTTGTGTGTCTTTCAGAGAAGACAGTATCTGCCAGAGGTGGTAGTATGTCACTTATGTGCAAGTCTTAAATCTTAACCTTCAAGCCTTAACCAAGTCCTGAGTCACTGTGGTGAGAATCAAGCAAGTCACGTTATCCTCTCAGACTCATAAAGACAAAATAAGTTGCACCAATTGGTGGAATGTAACTAAATACATTAACTTAGATACTGTAAGTACAAATCCGAGTCTTTTCTCCTTATGCCACTTTCTACTTCTACTCCACTGCATTTCTCTGACAGCTTTAGATACTAGTTACTTTACCAATAAATATTTTTGCACAGAAAACATAAAACACATATGAGTAGGCCTACAACTGGAACTATTAGTCAATTAATGAATTGAAGGAAAATAAATTAGCAACTGTTTTGATACCCTGACCTGAAATTTAAACTGGACCTGACCACCTGACCTTTTATGGACACATGATCTTGCTCATGAGTCCATAAACTATACTATATACCCTTTTATGTGATTGATAAGTCCCTGAACTGTATCAGTCTGCATAGTAGACTGTGTTTGGGTCTTATTCCTGTTACCCTGCTTACTTGAGCTGTGACAAAGAATTACCAAACATGCAGCAGGCAGCAGGACTTCGCGGTAATATTTAGCGACACAGCCATCCAAAATCACAGTGCATACAAATGGGAAATTAAGCAGTATAACAGGAAATTTACATTCATGGCTACATTTATTTTACTGACATGATAAAAGCAGTGACAAAAATGTGTATATATTAATGCATATACCGCACCTAATCCAATTAGTGTTGTGGTCACCATGAGTGCATCTACACAAAGTGAAGCCAGGCTCAGTCCACCTGTTAGTGCTTTTCCATACTTGGCATGGAAAGGGTCCAGCATGGTCACACAGTTTCTTTCTCTCAGAGGCTTTGCAAACACTGAGCCAGCTTGATGTAAAAGAGGTCAGAAGATTATTAGAAAACAAATTAGAAAACAAAAATAATAATCAAAGGATGGGACACACCGAACACAAGAGAAAGAAACATTCAAATGTAACATAACACCCTGAGGTACAGTAAAGTGCAATTTATACATCTGTTGTTGTGTGACCATGCATTCTTTGCAGGCTCACCTCACGGAGTTTAGGCATGTATAGATCCCTTGACTGTTAGTAAACAGTATGATTGTTTTCTGGTTGGCTCCATAGAGATGCCAGGACAGCATTACTAGGCCAGCACCTTCTCATTCCTTGCATTCCCCCAACATTATGCAAACATTTTTTTCTTATTAATTTGTCTATCAGAAGCTTCCATTTTCCAGTTCACTTGCTATATTGCTCTCTTTTTTTGGGTTAAATCATCTTTAGAGGAGGGATCATACAAGTGACGACATCGTCTAACTTGCTTTGCTAGCCGCTCTTCAAACTGGTCCATGCTTGTCCTGGCTGTTGTAACAGATGTGAGGTACTTGTTCATAAATCTCCTCCCAGTTTATATATTCCAAGAAAAATCTGTGGTGTCTGCAATGCCTGGCATGTAGTCACATGTTTTGGCATGTCTCTGTGGTTCTGGAAGCTCTTTCCACATCAGTATAAATCAGGCATACGTGTTCTGTAAATTCTGTGATCTTAAATGTGCTGTCTTAGTGAGTCATTATTTAATTTCTTCCTGCTTTACTGTTTAGCTTCCATACAGCCAAGCACAACTCAAGTTTGTTGGTATTGTCAGGGATACATGGAGTCATTTTTGTGTGTCAACTTATTAAACAATGACAGTTAAATATGACAGTATCCTGTCATGTACTTTCAAACTCATACCAATAATAAAAGATGAGCTGTACGCCATTATCATCATGAGTGTCCAGGTTAGTCCCATAGAGGGCGTGTAGATCATCTCAGCTGTTCCAACGATGAAGCCTCCTCCAACCCACGTAGCTACAGGAGGAATTAACACACAGCAAGTAATGTAGTGGACAAACAGCAGCTATTTGGAAAGGGGACAAAAGGAGAAAATCTTAGATGATATGTAAAGAGATTTGTCTGACAGAGGAGGAGAGTTGATTACATTAATTTAAATATCTTTGCAAATATCTTTCTGATTGTGATATATACTGAGCCCCGCATGATTCCTGCTCCATGATGGTTACAATTATCTTTTTGATTCTGTTGCATGCTTCATTCCATCCAGCCACTCGCCTGCTTCTCATTTCTCTATCAGCCTCGCATTGTCTGCATATTGATCCATTGGCACTCATTCCTGGCTGTCTGTCAAGTTCGCACCTGCGCTAGCTTTCCAGCCTTTGTGTGTGCATGCCTGATGGACAGATTTATGGTGACTGGTCGCAACCAGTCAAACTTGTCCAGACAGGGACAAGTTTGACTGGTTCCGACCCTTGCCTGCTTTTAGAACTCAGTAAATGAGAACTTTTGTTTTACTCTGACTGTCTTTGTTGTGCTTTTGTGTAAGAGGTTGTTGTCTTTCTGAGCTATGAGTCTTATTGCTTAATCGAAACTGATAACAATCTGGACTGGTATCACAACACTGATGCCCTCTAAAGTAAGAGACAGAGCAGACTACTTTTATTGTAATATTGTTTTAGTTAATAAACTTCTTATTATTTAATTCTCTGTTACTTTCTATACTGTCTACGAGCTCTGACAGTGGGGCTGGTATTATAACCTTCTGATTTTGTGTGTGTGTATGTCGGATGTTATTGCGTGACGTCTGTCTGTCTGTCTGTCTGTCTGTGAACAGATTTTGGCAACGCAATAGCATCACAACCATGCAAGGTGCAGTCAGATCTACAGGTGTGTTATTGAGATCATAATGAGGGCCAAGTTCTAAGTTGGGTGTGGTCCAAGCAAGGGTGCAGGAAGTAGGGGGATAGGAATTAGAGAAGGAGCTATTGGCCCTCCCACTTTAAGCCCCTGGCCAGTGTTTGTTTAAAGCCACAGAATCACCACTGCGGCAGGTGCGATCCCATCATAAGATGGTCGCTAATCGATATTTATGTCAACTGAATTTCCCCAATAAAGGTGTATCTCATCTTAAATTTTGCAGCTATATAACACTCACACTGAACAAAACACTGAAGATATTAATATATCCCTATTAACATATTTCCTAAATAATCACTCTACTTTTGTCAGCTGTGTGCTCCTCACCTGTCATTGTGAAGATCCCCACCACCATGTTGATACTCCTGTTCCCCAGCAGGGTCATCTCCATTCCAGGGGCTCCACTTTCCTTCTGTTTCCTCTTGGACTTGAAAGAAGCCCAGATGCCGGTCCCAAGGACCAACAGGTAGAAAAACGCCATGGCTATCACTCCTGGGATGTTAACAGCCATGATGGATGCTGACTGTCTTCTCTACTGGCTGATGTCCAACTGACTGAGTGACTGAGAATGACAGAAAACAGGGGTAACATAGCAGAACAGGGAAAACAGAATCCTCCCCCAGTTTAACAATACCCTCTGGCTGGCTGCAGGTTTAGGCAGGTTTAATAACTTGGCAAACATACAGAACTTGTATGTATGCATCTTAAGCCTATGGAACATTCACCATTGAACATTAAAGTTACTACTTGGCATTGGGCGGGACCTCGGACTCACGCCGTTCCGGCCTCCAGCTCACGTAGACAGTTAAAGACAAAAGTTTTAGACGATTTTAGACCCCTCTTCACTAGGGGTGTGCTTGAATAAAAATACGCTATTCGTATAGGCATTAATAATGCCTTTGAAAGCGCGTTCCACCGGCAGACATTATATCCAATTATCCATTGCTGTTATTCACAGCGACCGTATTAGTGTAACTCCGACCCTGTACTGGGCTGAGACTAGACAGTAGCTAAGCCTACTTATGTCCCATAGGCTGCTGAGAGCTCTACGGTGCGAGCATTTCACTCACATTTGCGACTAAAAATAGTTTAGTGTGAGCAAAAGAAATCATTCAGGAGCACGCTGTGCGAGTACAGATTTCAACCAGCAGCAGAAACGAAAGGCGAATCCTGCCGGTTGTGGGTTGAATTGGGGTCACAGACAGGAATACAGCGGAGCACTATGGCCACCGCAAGATAACGTTTACCGGCTCCAGCTCCAATAATTTCCTCTTCATTGGCGTCATGCTCCCCAGTGACTGTTAGCACCTAACCCACTGTGGGTCTATTAGGGAATATACTAAAATATACCAACTGGGCTGCATGATGTGTCTGGTTTATGCACTGATAAGGGACTGTTCTTACGTTATCAGAGGAGGAGGGTGGCTGGTTGATTTTATTTATTAATTTTATTTTGATCCCCGCTGTAGCCACAAATATTTTTCCTTGACCTTTTCAAAGTGACTGGTGGATTTGATTTGTAAAGCTGTTTTCTCTCCCAGTCCAAACTGATCATTCATTGACCCATATTAGAGACTGGCCTAGCCTATTTCCTAACAAAAAGCTCAGTGACAAAATGTTTAAAAGAGTGTGTTCATTAAATCTTCATTTTCCTAGTTCAAATTGTCTGGTCAGTGTTATTCTTATATAAACTAAGTCTTATATAAACTATTCCCAATGCAAAACAGATTATAATAA